TATGGGAATCTCCACCCAGGAAACGCCCCGCCACACAGCGGCCTCATCAGTCCAGCACAAAGCAGAAAGGTGCAAGGAGAGGAGTAGCCCGAGGCAATTATTCTATTGCATTAAACTTAATATTTCATGTGGTAAATTTTTTTTTTTCATACTTTTGGGTGTCTTGCACGGATTAATTTGATTTCCATTACTTCTTATAAAGAAAATTGATTCGCTTTTCAATATTTTCGGTATTCGATGAGCTCTCAGGAATGGATTAATATCAAATACCGGGGGTCCACTGTGCAATTATTACTTACCTTAAAATATTAATATTAATGTGTGAGAGGTGAGTGGCAGGGTGTTTATTGAATAAAATCAGAATGGCACACCATCATCCTCTAACTTGGCACTTAAAGCAAGAGGCTTACGACTTCTCTTTTTATCACAGCTAACCTTAGACGCCATCGTCAATGAGAGCCAACTAGTTAACAAAAGAGTAAACAAGAGAGACAACGAGATACAGAGTTGAGACGATGTAAGAACACAAACTGAACAGGTAGTGGACGATCACTTGGCAAGACGAAATAAATGCGTATTAATATGTGTCTACTTTTAGTTCATCCACGTCCATTTGTAAGAGTTTGTAAAACATTTACCTCAATATTTTATTATAATAATAATTACCTCACAATACAAATACTCTTACATTGTGTACAAGTTGTACAAGTTAGTTCAGAATAAACAAACAGCAACACACCATTTTTAGACTGAATGAAGATAATAACATTAATAATAATAATAATAATAATAATAATAATAATAATAAATATTATTATTATTAATAATAATAATATTATTATTATTTATTATAAAAAGCAGTAAACCCACAAGGGTCATGAATTGCTATATATAGAGTAAAGGCATATGAAAAGAATATTTTTCTACAGGTATCCCCCAGTTTGACTAGAGAAAACGTAATTCTTCCGACACTACCTACACAGCTGCTTTGTAAACAAATCTCATATTTACATCAATTTTTATTCTTTGAGTGTATGTATCATGTTTATATGCTATGTAATGGGTTTCATATATAATTTTGAGAAAAATATCATAGATGGATTAATGAAAATGCCTATATTGATGTAAAATAAGACATTTAGTGTGCCCAAGAGTGATTATTATTACGTAGTATTGGCGTCATGAGTAGAGAGAGACTTAGCGATTTTAATGTGTACCTGCACACCAGCACAGTGTGTAAGTATATTTAGGTACAGGTACACTTAAGTATAATTATCAGAGTACATATAAAATATGCAGTAACTTTAAAACACTTGAAATTTTGGAAAGTTTCTTGACATAATAGATGGTCACGGAAAATGTAAACAAACTGGGTGGGGGTCGCCGTATTTGAAAGACCGCTTGCCGTATAGCAAATTTTGGTCATAATTTGACATCGCCATAAGGCGAAACGCCTTACATTCATATTAGTGCTTGCAACTACTAAATAAGCTATCATGGCTCCAAAGAAAGCTCCTAGTGTCAAGCCTTTGGTAAAGAAGGTGAGAAATACGATTGAATTTAAGAAAAACATCATTGAACAATATGAAAGTGGTGTACGTGTGGCCGAACTGGCCAGGATGTATAACAAACCCCATACAACCATAGCTTCCATCGTGGCCAAGAAAAAGGAAATGAAGGAAGCTGTTGTTGCAAAGGGAGTAACTATGCTGACAAAAATGAGATCACCAGTACTCGAAGATGTTGAGAAGTTATTATTAGTGTGGATAAATGAGAAACAATTAACAGGAGATAGTCTTATGATGTCAATTATTTGTGAAAAGGCTAGGCAGTTGCATGACGATCTGGTAAAGAAACTGCCCGCAACGAGTACTGATATTTGTGAGTTTAAGGCCAGCAAAGGTTGGTTTGAGAGATTTAAGAACCATAGTGGCATACACAGTGTGATAAGGCATGGTGAGGCTGCCAATTCGGACAAAATTGCAGCTACAAAATTCGTAAGTGAATTCAAGGAGTACATAGAGGCTGAAGGACTGAAACCTGAACAAGTGTTCAATTGTGATGAAACAGGCCTCTTTTGGAAGAAAATGCCAAAGAGGACCTACATTACTCAGGAGGAAAAGGGACTGCCAGGACACAAGCCTGTGAAAGACAGGCTGACGCTCATGTTCTGTGCTAATGCTAGTGGGGATTCCAAAGTGAAGCCATTACTAGTGTACCATTCTGAAAATCACAGTGTGTTCAGGAAAAACAATATTATGAAGAGTAAATTGTGTGCGTTTGGGAAATCTAATAGTAAGGCATGGGTCACAAGGGAAATTTTCGTCGAGTGGGTCAATGAAGTGTTTGGCCCTAGTGTGAAGAATTACCTCCTGGAAAAGAAATTGGATCTCAAGTGCCTCCTAGTTATGGACAATGCACCTGCTCATCCTCCAAACTTGGATGACCTAATTTTGGAGGAGTCTGGGGTTCATCACAGTAAAGTTCTTGCCCCCGAATACCACTCCTCTCCTCCAGCCCATGGACCAGCAGGTCATTTCAAACTTTAAAAAAAACTACACCAAAGCAATGTTTCAAAGGTGCTTTAATTTGACCTCAGACACTCACTTGACCCTAAGAGATTTTGGAAAGAACACTTCAGTATCCTCCATTGCATAAGCCTTATACATAAGGCTTGGGAGGGAGTGACTACCAGGACTCTAACCTCTGCCTGGAGAAACTTGTGGCCAGATTGTGTCCACAAGAGGGATTTTGAAGGGTTTGTGGCTGACCCTGATGAGCTTATGTCAGTTGTGAAATCTATTGTGGCACTGGGGAGTTCCATGGGGTTGGATGTGAGTTTGGAGGTTGTGGAAGAGTTGGTGGAAGACCACAACGAAGAGCTCACCACTGAGGAGCTGCAAGAGTTTCAGCAGGAACAGGAACAGATCGCAGCTCAGAATCTTGCTGCAGAGGAGGAGGAAGAGAGATGGAAGAAGGTGCCTTCTTCAGATATTAAGGAGATTTTTGAAATGTGGGGTAAGATGGAAAGATTTATGTAGAAACATCACCCTGAGAATGATGTTGCAAGCCATGTTGGCAACATGTACAGTGACAAAGTCTTGGCCCATTTTAGGGAAGTGTTAAAGAGACACCAGAAACAGAGCTCTCTGGACAGTTTTTTTGCAAGACAGGACTCCAGTGACTCTCAAGCTGGTCCTAGTGGCATTAAGAAAGAGAGAAGAGAAGTGACCCCAGAAAAGCACTTGGTACCTGAGGTGTTGATAGAAGGGGATTCCCCTTCCAAAGAGTAAATAATCCAATCTCTCTCCTCCTCCAGTCTTCCATACACTAAGAAGAATCTCCAATAAAGGTAAGTGTTATGCTGTTAAAGTTTCATTCATCATGTCCCATTGTATTGTTTATGTACTACATCTATATTTCATGTAAAATTTTTTTTTTGTTTTAACCCTTAAATTGTCCAAACATATATATACGTTTTTTCAACTTCTGAAAGTATGTAAAAAAAATTTAGATCTTTTTTTTTGTTTTACATGTGAAAACGTGTAAAAAAAACTTTTATCTACATTTTTTTTTGTTATATTTGAAAATATGTAAAAAAAAGTACATCTACTTTTGTAGCACTACGAATTTGAACGTCGATCTGTTTGGACCGTTCAAGGGTTAATATTTCTGGGTGTCAGGAACGGATTAATTGTATTTACATTATTTCTTATGGGGAAAATTGATTCGAAAATCATCAATTTCGATAATAGTCACACTTCCAGGATCGGATTAATTACAAAAAAACGAGGGACCACTGTATATCATGACGTGGATCTACTGATAAAATTAAGACCGCATATTAGTGCATATGAATTAACCCTTTCAGGGTCCGTGCCGTAATTCTACGGCTTTGAGTTGAGAGTCCAAACCGTAGATCTACACCGTAAGTTCAGCTCACTCTGATAAGCTGTTAGGGGTAAATTTGGGCCTAGATATGAGAGAATACATCTATGTGGTATGTGTGCACCACATAAAACAAATCCTGCATCACACAGTGCATGAGAGAAAAAACAAATGAGACCGAAATTTTCGATTAAAACAGTGATTTTGCAGTGTTTTTTCGTATGCTTTTTAGTTTTATATGCAATTTCTTGGTCTCATTTGATAGAATGGAAGATATATTACAGAAATAGAGATGATTTTGATTGATTTTAGTACTGGAAATGGCTTGAAACTGAGCTCAAAGTAGCGGAAATGTTCAATTTTTGCCGATGTTCAATAGTAAACAAATGACATCACACATCTAATACATGCCAGCTAGTGGGTCTAATATACGTTCACAAATGTGGTGATATTATTTATATAATTATTACAATATTGCATAACAGTAAATCTTCTATTTTTTGGTTTGAATAAAAATTCATGACGTGAATAAAAAATAAAAATGGAATTCATTTGTAAAGCCTGAAAACGTAACTAATGAACAAAGGAAATGTTAGTTTAGTGCCAGGAATGCCTGCATTGTTTATTCTGGACCCTATTTTGAAAATGGAATACTTTGAACTTTGTTTTAAATTGGCCAAATTACCAATTTCCCATCACTTTATTTTGCAGTTGAAACAGTTGACTTGACAATTTCTTGTGCTCAGTCGATAGAATAGAAGCAATACTAGTGAAATAGCTAAGAATTTGGTCGAATGGAATAATGTAATTGGCCTAAAATGGGAGTCAAAGTCAGCAAAATCGCCAATGCGTAAACATCGCTGACACGTCAAAATTTACGAGAGCATAATTTCGTCAATTTTCCATCACATTTCGTACTTTTTGTTTTATTACCTTCAGAAAATTATTCTCTACCATTTAATAATAAAAAATAAAATTTTTTTTTTGAAAATTCTTGGACCCTGGTGCACACTGAAATTTGGCCTCTCTACCCTGAAATGGTTAAGAGAAGTGAGGGGAAACCTGTAAGTTTAGTTGAAATATTTTTCATTATTATATTGTTTTCATCTTACCTTAATGAGTATAAAGTCTTCCTCAACTGTGAATGGCCCTTTCGACTGTTCAGGGTTGATCATCCTCCAGCGACTCTGAAGCTGAGCACGGCTGAATCCCACCATGTGTTGGTGAACCTTAAAGAAAATTTATACATAATTTAAGGTAAGTGTATCATATTAAGCAATTAGTAGTAATAATAATAATAATTAATTTTTCCAGATAGAATGTAAGTGTTACAAGGATGAGTTACATGTGTGCATTCCCTTAACCCTTAAGTTTCAATAGGGGTCTAAAATTAACGTGCTCCCCAGTGCCAGCAATTTAAAAAAAAAAAAAAAAAAAAAAATCTTACTAAAAATCTTCCCTGATTTTAGAAATGTAATAAGGCAAGAATGAGTGAAATCTGATTATTACTTATGGAGATTTGAGGGTGAAGTTTGTGCTTGTTTTATTAAAGCAACATGAGTGTTTGCCACGTGTAGGAAATTTCTGTTTTAAAATTTTTTCGTGATTTTTTTTCCAGTTTCTTCTAATTGTTTTTATGGGCCATATGTTTACTTTTTTTTTTTTTAACACGTTGGCCATTTTCCACTGAGGCAGGGTGACCCAAAAAGAAAGAAAAAACTTTCATCACTCAACACTTTCACCATCACTCATATATAATCACTGTCTTTGCAGAGGCACTCAGATACGACAGTTTAGATATTTATGTTTTCACATCACATTTCACTTATATTTACTGTTCAGTCCCTGCTTTATGGAATTATGCTAATACATACTGACATTTTAAATTATGACCAAAACTCACTATATGGCTCCCCCCCCCCCCCATTTGACTTTCTAATACAGTCACTGTGCCCTACCCAGTTTGTTTATATTCTCCATGAGCACTGCATCTTTCTGTTATGTCTGGAAACTTTCCAAAATTTCAAGTGTTCTAACCCTTTCAGGGTCAGTCCAGTATATGTACAGCTTGATAGCCAGTGTCGGTCCCGTATTTATACGTCAAAATTCTAGTGCCTTCAAATCTGGTGGAAGAAAGCTGGTAGGCCTACATATGAAAGAATGGGTCTGCATGATCAGTGTGCACAGTATAAAATAATCCTGCAGCACACAGTGCATGAGAAAAAAAAAACTGACCTGATTTTTGGTTTAAAACAGCAATTTTGCAGTGCATTTTTGCATGGTATTTAAGATTGTATTCTTGTTTTCTTGGTCTCATTTGATAGAATGGAAGATATATTACAGAAATAGAGATGATTTTGATTGGTTTCTTGATGAAAAGTACCTTGAAATTGAGCTCAAAGTAGCGAAAATGTTCGATTTTTGCCAATGTTCAAGAGTAAACAAATCACGCCATGCGTCCAATACACATCAACTGGCGAGTCTAACATTCTTTCACAAGTACACTGATATTATTTATACCATTTTTACAATAATGCAGTAGTCTGCATAACAGTAAATCTTCTATTTTTTGTGAGAATAAAAATTCAAAATGGAAAGCAAGAGTAATATAAGAGGGGCCTGGAGATGTGACTAATGAACCAAGAAAATTATATTTTAGTGCCAGGAATATCTGTCTTGTTTATTCTGGACCTTATTGAGAAATTGGCATCTTTTGATATTTGTGTGAAATTGGCCAAATTGCCAATTTCTGACCACTTTATTGAGTAGCTGATATCAGCAAATGGGTGGTTTCTTATACTCACTCGATAGAACAAATAAAGTTCTAGTGAAATAGCTATGATTTTAGTCAACTGGAACAATGGAACTGGCCGAAAATTGGGCGAAATCGCCAATGTGTAAATATCGCTGGTATCGCTAACTTTGTGAGAGCGTAATTTTGTAAGTTTTCCATCAAATTTCGTACTTTTAGAGTTATCACCATCGGGAAAAGTTTCTCTATCATTTCATTAAAAAGATTTTTTTTTTCTTTCCGAAAATTTTTTGACCTTGAGAGCAGGATCAGGGGTCTCGACCCTCAAAGGGTTAAAGTTATTTCATGTTTTATAAATACAGCCTCTCCTCACTTAGTGACGTACTTGTTTACTGACAACTCAGACTTATGACGGGCTCTCTGACCAGTATGCATACCTAAATAATGAGTATTAGAGCTAATATCCTCTATTCTGTTTATTACAATATATATTGTACACTACTGTATAAACATTTAAAAATATACCAGAAATGTTATAAATGGTGCAGAGGTGACATTAAACAATATCAAAGATGGTTGACACAAACCCACTGCCATTATAGTATGCTCCTCACTTAGCGACGAATTCATTTACTGACATGGTCTTAGGAACGGAACTCCATCGTTAAGCAAGGAGAGGCTGTAATGTGATAATTATACTTATGTGTACCTGTACCTAAATAAACTTACACACTGTGCTGGCATGCAGGTACATATTAAAATCACAAAGAGTGTCTTATTAGTCATGAGGACACCATGTTAACCCTTTGAGGGTCGAGAGCCACTGGGGTCGAGACCCACTGGGGGTCGAGAAATATTCAAAAAAAAAAAAAAAAAAAAATTATTTTTTCTTACCAAAATCTTAAGAACATTTCTGTTAGTGTTTTAGTAAAAAATTTTGCAATCAATACTTACCAAGGCATGAAGCTGACAAAGTCAACCGCTTATGGCAACATCGCCGAGTGCCGGTCACGTGGTAATAGTTTATTTTTTCTCAATTTTTTATTTTTATTTTTTAACATTTTTTTTTTTCAAGTAACTTTTATGGTCTGTGAGATCAATATAAGGCATATGGTATATAAATTCACTCATATGCTACACAATAACTGCACAAACATTGTTGTCATTATACAGTTTACAAAACATGTTTACACAAATGAACAATAGAAAATGTTGCTTATTACTATTTTTCTATATTATATATACACATATAGAGTCACTGGACATGTTCCTAGAAGTGCTGCAGCTTGTGGAATTCTTTGAAACATGGTGTCATGCACAGTGGTGTTTTACACTCCTCACACACAAAATGAGTGTCTGGGTTTTTGAGGGCGTTTTGTTGTATGTGCACAGACCAAACACTTCAGAGCAGTTTTCTTCATAGTAGTAGGAGGCAGTTGCATTGGGCAGTGATCACCAAGCCTCAGACGAAAGGGTAGTTGTTGATCAGTTTGCAGGCGGTGTTCTATTGAAGGTGTTGTTACTTGGTACTTAAATAATATGTTTGATGACAGACAAACAAAACTGACCATATCGTGGTTTGGTTCTGATCTTCAACTTATACATATAAGCATTGAGCATGGAAATGTCCAGAAAATGAAAAAAGTACCACTTATAACTCTTGCGAACACAATCAGCAAATCCAATTTGCATGTCACATTTGTCCACTGAGTGCATACTGAGGGTGTAGTCCATCACAGCTGCAGGTTTTAGAATGGGTTCATTGGTCTCTATTCTGCCTGTCACTGTTTTATTTCATTTTGGTGAACCGATGTCAGCAGTGTGACATTTCGTTTGTCATGCCACTGAAATGCCATGATGTCATTGGCAGCAAATGTCTGCATCTTGCCTCTAGAAGTGCCAAACTCAATCCTAGGCATATGCTTATGATTTGCACGCACTGTGCCATACACGTCTGTCATGTTTACTCACAAGAAATCACTGAGTAAGGGGCTTGTGTACTAGTTATCAGTATATAATATGGTTCCATCATTATATACTGTTATGTTATACAGTGGACCCGTGGTTATCGGCCGGTTCAGTTTTCGGCCAACTCGGTTATCGGCCGGTTTTTCGGCGCCTGGTTATCAGCCGTTAATTCGGTTATCGGCCATTTGGGAGGCGTCCATCTGCCGGCTGAGGCCGCTTGTGAGTCAGTTTGGCTTTGTCTCTGGGTGAGTGAGGAAGCTTCTGCTCATTCATCCAAACATTTTGCTATAATCCATTGTTTTTGTGGTTATTGATTGAGTACAACTGCAAAATAAGCAACCATGGGCCCAAAGAAACACTTTACATAGTATATGAAAACATGCAATGTTTATATGCGATGTATATTTAATAATTATCACTGGTACATTAAATGTATTATTTTACGTTAATACATGTATAGACATTTTCATTAATCCATCTATTATATCTTCTTCAAAATTATATAAGAAACATGTTACATAGCATATAAACATGCAATGTTTATTATATGCGATGTATATTTCATAATCACTCTTTGCCACATTAAATGTCTTATTTTACGTTAATACGTATATAAGACACATAGGCAACATTTAGGCAACTTTATTCCGAAACGTTTCGCCCACACAGTAGGCTTCTTCAGTCGAGTACAGAAAGTAGATAGGAGCAGTAAAGATGTGAAGACGATGTAATCAGTCCATCACCCTTGAAGTCGTAGATTTGAGGTTGTCAGTCCCTTCAGCCTGGAGAAGTTCTAAATAACAAAAAAACAAGGCACAATACTGTGACTGGAACAGGTTATTTGTGTGTGGAGAAGTTCTGTTCCAAAGTCTTTGGAACAGAACTTCTCCAGGCTGAGGGACTGACAACCTCAAATCTACGACTTCAAGGGTGATGGACTGATTACATCGTCTTCACATCTCTACTGCTCCTGTCTACTTTCTGTACTCGACTGAAGAAGCCTACTGTGTAGGCAAAACGTTTCGGAATAAAGTTGCCTAAATGTTGCCTATGTGTCTTATCTACCAACCTGTCGGTATTGTATACCATTTGTTAATACGTATAGACATTTTCATTAATCCATCAATGATATTTTCTTCAAAATTATGTAAGAAATACATTACATAGCATATAAACATGCAATGTTTTTTATATGCGATGTATATTTCATAATCACTCTTTGCCACATTAAATGTCTTATTTTACGTTAATATAGACATTTTCATTAATCCATCAATGATATTTTCTTCAAAATTATATAAGAAACATGTTACATATCATGTAGCATGTAAACAAAGCATATAAACATGCAATGTTTATATGTTATCGAGTGGAGAGTGGGATGGAGAGTAAACATTACGTTTTCTCTGATTCAGTGTTAAGAGAAAACTGTGAATCTGGCGACTGGTGCAGTAACCGCCCTTCACATGCATTTGTTTACAATTCGTGGCATGAATTATTCATTATTTC